GTCGTATCGAACTGTAATGTATCGTGATACATCGATGTATCGGTGAATCGTCCCAGCCCTACCTGGTTGTGCCCACAGCCTCATCATCACCTGACTGTGATCACAATCATCATCATCATCAGTTCACTGTGCCAACAGCCTCATCATCATTTCAGTGTGCCAACACCCTTGTCGTCATCTCACTGTGCCCACAGCCTCATCATAAGTTCACTGTGCCCACAATCATCATCATCACCTGACTGATCACAATCATCATCATCACCTGGCTGTGCCCACAGACTCATCATCACCTGACTGTGCCCGCAATAATAATCATCATCATCATCAGCTGACTGTGCCCACATCCTCATCATCAGTTCACTGTGCCCACAGCCTCATCATCATTTCAGTGTGTACACAGCCTTGTCGTCATCTCACTGTGCCCACCGCCTCATCATCAGCTCACTGTGCCCACAGCCTCATCATCATCTCACTGTGCCCACATCCTCATCATCATCTCACTGTGCCCACCGCCTCATCATCATCTCACTGTGCCCACATCCTCATCATCATCTCACTGTGCCCACCGCCTCATCATCATCTCACTGTGCCCACATCCTCATCATCATCTCACTGTGCCCACAGCCTCATCATCATCTCACTGTGCCCACATCCTCATCATCATCTCACTGTGCCCACAGCCTCATCATCAGCTCAGTGCGCCTACATCCTCATCATCGCATCAATGTGCCCACAGCCTCATCATCATTTCACTGTGCCCACATCCTCATCATCAGCTCACTGTGCCCACAGCCTCATCATCAGCTCAATGTGCCCACAGCCTCATCAGCTCAATGTGCCCACAGCCTCATCATCATCTCACTGTGCCCACAGCCTCATCATCGCCTCACTTTGCCCACAGCCTCATCATCATCTCACTGTGCCCACATCCTCATCATCATCTCACTGTGCCCACATCCTCATCATCATCTCACTGTGCCCACATCCTCATCATCATCTCACTGTGCCCACAGCCTCATCATCGCCTCATTTTGCCCACAGCCTCATCATCATCTCACTGTGCCCACATCCTCATCATCATCTCACTGTGCCCACAGCCTCATCATCATCTCACTGTGCCCACATCCTCATCATCGCCTCAATGTGCCCACAGCCTCATCATCATCACTGTGCCAACAGCCTCATCATCATCTCACTGTGCCCACATCCTCATCATCGCCTCAATGTGCCCACAGCCTCATCATCAGTTCAGTGTGCCCAAAGCCTTGTCATCATCTCAATGTGCCCACAGCCTTGTCGTCATCTCACTGTGCCCACAGCCTGTTCATCATCTGACCATGCCCAAAGTCTTGTCACCATCTCACATGCCCTCTGACCTGTCACCATCTCACCATGCCCTCTGCCATGCCATCATCTCACCATGCCCTCTGCCCTGTCATCATCTTAACATGCCCACTGCCATGTCATCATCTCAACATGCCCACTAACATGTCATCATCTTACCTTGCCCACTGCCTTGTCATCATCTCACCATGCCCTCTGCCTTGTCATCATCTCACCATGCCCACTGCCAAGTCATCATCTCACCGTGCCCCCTGCAATGTCATCATCTCACCATGGCCGCTGCTTTTCTGTCATCTTACCATCCCCCCTGTCGTGTCATCATCTTACCATTCCGCCCGCGGCCTTGACATGTCCACTGCTTAGATATCATCTCACCATGTCCACGGCCTTGTCAACATCACATCATGCCCTCTGCCCTGCCGTCATCTCTCCATGTTCACTGCCAAGTCATCATCTCACCGTGCCCCCTGCAATGTCATCATCTCACCATGGCCGCTGCTTTTCTGTCATCTTACCATCCCCTCTGTCGTGTCATCATCTTACCATTCCGCCCGCGGCCTTGACATGTCCACTGCTTAGATATCATCTCACCATGTCCACGGCCTTGTCAACATCACATCATGCCCTCTGCCCTGCCGTCATCTCTCCATGTTCACTGCCATGTCATCATCTCACCATGCCCACTGCCAAGTCATCATCTCACCGTGCCCCCTGCACTGTCATCATCTCACCATGGCCGCTGCTTGTCTGTCATCTTACCATCCCCTCTGTCGTGTCATCATCTTACCATTCCGCCCGCGGCCTTGACATTTCCACTGCTTAGATATCATCTCACCATGTCCACGGCCTGATCAACATCACATCATGCCCTCTGCCCTGCCGTCATCTCTCCATGTTCACTGCCATGTCATCATCTCACCATGCCCTCTGCCATGTAACCATCGCACTATGCTCACTGCCATGTCATTATCTCACCGTGCCCACTGCTTTTCTATCATCTTACCATCCCCTCTGTCATGTCATCATCTTACGATGCCGCCCGCGGCCTTGTCATCATCTCACCATGCCCACTGCCTTGTCATTATCTCCCCATGCCCACTGCCACATCACCATCTCACCATGCCCACTGTCGTGTCATCATCTTACCATGCCCTCTGCCATGTCTTCATCTCACTGTGCCCACTGCTATGTCATCATTTCACCATGCCCTCTGCACTGCCGTCATCTCATCATGTTCACTGCCATGTCATCATCTCACCACGCCCTCTGCCATGTCATCATCTCACTATGCCCACTGCCATGTCATCATCTCACCATGCCCTCTGCCATGACACCATCTTACCATGCCCTCTGCCATGTCATCATCTCAACATGCCCTCTGCCATGTCATCATCTCACTATGCCCACTGCCATGTCATCATCTCACCATGCCCTCTGCCATGACACCATCTTACCATGCCCTCTGCCATGTCATCATCTCACCATGCCCACTGTCGTGTCATCATCTTACCATGCCCTCTGCCATGTCATCATCTCATTATGCCCACTGCCTTCTCATCATCTCACCATGCCCACTGCCATGTCATCATCTTACTATGCCCTCTGCCGTGTCAACATCTCACTATGCCCACTGTCATGTCATCATCTGACCATGCCCTCTGCCATGTCATCATCTCACCATGCCTATGCCATGTCATCATCTCACCATGCCCACTGCCATGTCATCATCTCAACATGCCTCTGCCATGTCATCATCTCACTATGCCCTCTGCCATGCCATCATCTCACCATGCCTCTGCCATGTCATCATCTCACCATGCCTCTGCCATGTCATCATCTCACTATGCCCTCTGCCATGCCATCATCTCACCATGCCTCTGCCATGTCATCATCTCACTATGCCTCTGCCATGTCATCATCTTACTATGCTCACTGCCATGTCATTATCTCACCATGCCCAGTGCCTTGTCATCATCTTACCATATCCTCTGCCTTGTCATCATCTCACCACGCCCTCTGCCATGTCATTATCTCACTATGCACACTGCCACGTCATTATCTCACCATGCCAACTGCGATGTCATCATCTTACCATGCCCTCTGCCATGTCATCATCTCACTATGCCTCTGCCATGTCATCATCTCACCATGCCTCTGCCATGTCATTATCTCACCATGCCCTCTGCCATGTCATCATCTCACCATGCTCTATGCTATGTCATCATCTCACTATGCCCACTGCCATGTCATCATCTCACCATGCCCTCTGCCATGTCATCATCTCACCATGCCTCTGTCAAGTCATCAATTCACTTTGCCCACTGCCATGTCATTATCTTACTATGCTCACTGCCATGTCATTATCTCACTATGCTCACTGCCACATCATTATCTCACCATGCCAACTGTCTTGTCATCATCTTACCATGCCCTCTGCCATGTCATCATCTCACCATGCCTCTGCCATGTCATCATCTCATCATACCTTTGCCATGTCCTCATCTCACTATGCCCTCTGCCATGTCATCATCTCACTATGCCCACTGCCATGTCATCATCTCACCATGCCCACTGCCATGTCATCATCTCACCATGCCCTCTGACATGTCATCATCTCACTATGCCAACTGCTATGTCATCATCTCACCATGCCTCTGCCATGTCATTATCTCACCATGCCTCTGCCATGTCATCATCTCACCATGCCTATGCCATGTCATCATCTCACTATTCCCACTGCCATGTCATTATCTTACTATGCTCACTGCCATGTCATTATCTCACTATGCTCACTGCCACATCATTATCTCAGCATGCCAACTGCCTTGTCATCATCTTACCATGCCCTCTGCCATGTCATCATCTCACCATGCCTCTGCCATGTCATCATCTCACCATGCCTCTGCCATGTCATCATCTCACTATGCCCTCTGCCATGTCATCATCTCACTATGCCCACTGCCATGTCATCATCTCACCATGCCCTCTGCCATGTCATCATCTCACTATGCCAACTGCCATGTCATCATCTCACCATGCCTCTGCCATGTCATCATCTCACGATGCCTCTGCCATGTCATCATCTCACCATGCCTATGCCATGTCATCATCTCACTATGCCCACTGCCATGTCATCATCTCACCATGCCCTCTGCCATGTCATCATCTCACCATGCTTCTGGCCAGTCATCATTTCACTATGCCCACTGCCATGTCTTTATCACACCATGCCTATTGCCATGTCATCATGTTACCATGCCCACGACCTTGTCATTGTTTAACCATGCCCTCTGCCTAGTTATCATCTCAGGATACCCACTGACTTGTCATCATCTCACCATATCCAAAGCCTTGTCATCATCTCAGGATACCCATTGACTTGTCATCATCTAACCATATCCAAAGCATTGTGATCATCTCACCATATCCAAAGCCTTGTCATCATCTCAGGATACCCATTGACTTGTCATCATCTAACCATATCCAAAGCATTGTCATCATCTCACCATATCCAAAGCCTTGTCGTCATCTCAGGATACCCACTGACTTGTCATCATCTAACCATTTCCAAAGCATTGTCATCATCTCTAAATATCCAAAGCCCTGTCATCATCTCACCATATTCACGATGGTGTATGTTTCTGATTACCTTCCAGCGACCTTGTCACAAGTAACAATGAGGAGAGTTGTGCTGCTGGCATGCATGCTGTGCTGCACCGGAATACTGGCAGGTGAGACTCGGGATGTTGCAAGTCTTATGGTTGACATTCCAGATCTATATTCACGAAAACTGTGAATGGTTGACATGGTTCAACAATTCGAGTAACATAGTCTAGTCTGAAAATGTTAATTTGAGGCAATAGCTACTAGTACATGCTAGATTTAAGTTAGCCATGTTAACTGGTTTGTGGAAGAGAAATTGTAAAAACATGAACACCCCTTTTTACCCTTGAAAAAATATATTTTGGGAGAACTCACATGTTCCAGAATGAATGGTTCTTTTAATACAGGTAATGTGATTTCAGCAAAGTCTACGAATTCCATCTTGTGTATGTTTGTCTACAACTTTGTGAAATAATTAAAGACACCCCCCGATGATGACTCTCGACATACTGTCATAAGTCTTGCAGGTATGTGCGAGATTGATGATTCTTGGTAAAACTGAAAGTATACATAATCTTATTTGAAAATATCTCTGAATTTGAATATATTGAAGGTTAACTATCATATACTACATATTTCATCACTGATCATGTGCATGTCAAAGTAGAAAATGCATTAAACATTTGACTTACGCTAATTGTGGAGCCTTTCAGGGTGCTGATGTTCTCATTGTTAGTGAGTGGCTGCCGACTATATGCAGCCTTTCTATGGCATGGAGCATCTATTTATCCTACAAATATGAACATGCTGAAAATATGCTGACGCTATAAGTTTTTGTCATAAAGTGGACTCACTAAAGTGTAATGTGAAAATATAGCGGAATCGCATCATCAAGTTATGCACCACTTTAGCGTGATTAGTGGGTATTCTTAGTGTAATTGACTGAAGAAGATATATCAGTTGACATGGAAACATGTTTATTTGTTTCAGTAACACGGCCACCAGGAGTCTACATTCAGCCAAGATATGATGTGTTCTTCAAAGCCGGGGAAACTGTGGAGATGCCATGTGTTGCCGAAGGCATACCCAACCCCAGGTACAACACTCATGTGCTGTGTTCATGTACTTAGGACAACACGCACACGCACATGCACACGCACACGCACACACACACACAAACACAAACACACACACACACACAAACACACACACACACACCATTTCAAATGCATTTCCTGTTCTACTGGGCATTGGACATGTTGAGATAAAGATTACCGTGTGTATAGTCTTGTAAACTATGTCAGAAATAGCCATAAGCTGTACACATTTTCATCGTGATTAAGCTCGGTTTGGTAACCAGAAACACAAATATATATATTATTCCCCTTTGATACATGATGAATACTCCACCATGTATCAGGTTCAGCTGGCCAAGTGGTCTCACTACGCTGTCTGTGGAGAGTTACGTTCCTCAACCTTGTCAGGTTCAGCTGGCCAAGTGGACTCACTACGCTGTCTGTGGAGAGTTACGTTCCTCAGCCTTGCCAGGTACAGCTCGCCAAGTGGACTAACTACGCTGTCTGTGGAGAGTTACGTTCCTCAACCTTGTCAGGTTCAGCTGTCTGTGGAGAGTTACGCTCCTCAACGTTGTCAGGTTCAGCTGGCCAAGTGGACTCACTACGCTGTCTGTGGAGAGTAACATTCCTCAACCTTGCCAGGTACAGCTCGCCAAGTGGACTCACTACGCTGTCTGTGGAGAGTTACGTTCCTCAACCTTGTCAGGTTCAGCTGTCTGTGGAGAGTTAAGCTCCTCAACCTTGTCAGGTTCAGCTGGCCAAGTTGACTCACTAAGCTGTCTTCGGAGAGTTACGTTCCTCAACCTTGTCAGGTACAGCTGGCCAAGTGGACTCACTACGCTGTCTGTGGAGAGTTACGTTCCTCAACCTTGTCAGGTTCACCTGGCCAAGTGGACTCACTACGCTGTCTGTGGAGAGTTAAGTTCCTAAACCTTGTCAGGTTCAGCTGTCTCTGGAGAGTTACGTTCCTCAACCTTGTCAGGTTCAGCTGTCTGTGGAGAGTTACGCTCCTCAACGTTGTCAGGTTCAGCTGGCCAAGTTGACTCACTAAGCTGTCTGAGGAGAGTTACGTTCCTCAACCTTGTCAGGTACAGCTGGCCAAGTGGACTCACTACGCTGTCTGTGGAGAGTTACGTTCCTCAACCTTGTCAGGTACAGCTGGCCAAGTGGACTCACTACGCTGTCTGTGGAGAGTTACGTTCCTCAACCTTGTCAGGTTAAGCTGGCCAAGTGGACTCACTACGCTGTCTGTGGAGAGTTACGTTCCTCAACCTTGTCAGGTACAGCTGGCCAAGTGGACTCACTACGCTGTCTGTGGAGAGTTACGTTCCTCAACCTTGTCAGGTTCAGCTGTCTGTTGAGAGTTATGTTTCTCAACCTTGTCAGGTTAAGCTGGCCAAGTGGACTTACTACGCTGTCTGTGGAGAGTTACGTTCCTCAACCTTGTCAGGTACAGCTGGCCAAGTGGACTCACTACGCTGTCTGTGGAGAGTTACGTTCCTCAACCTTGTCAGGTTCAGCTGTCTGTGGAGAGTTACGTTCCTCAACCTTGTCAGGTTCAGCTGTCTGTGGAGAGTTACGTTCCTCAACCTTGTCAGGTACAGCTGGCCAAGTTGACTCACTAAGCTGTCTTTGGAGAGGTACGTTCCTCAACCTTGTCAGGTACAGCTGGCCAAGTGGACTCACTACGCTGTCTGTGGAGAGTTACGTTCCTCAACCTTGTCAGGTACAGCTGGCCAAGTGGACTCACTACGCTGTCTGAGGAGAGTTACGTTCCTCAACCTTGTCAGGTACAGCTGGCCAAGTGGACTCACTACGCTGTCTGCGGAGAGTTACGTTCCTCAGCCTTGTCAGGTTCAGCTGGCCAAGTGGACTCACTACGCTGTCTGTGGAGAGTTACGTTCCTCAACCTTGTCAGGTTCAGCTGTCTGTGGAGAGTTACGTTTCTCAACCTTGTCAGGTTAAGCTGGCCAAGTGGACTTACTACGCTGTCTGTGGAGAGTTACGTTCCTCAACCTTGTCAGGTTCAGCTGTCTGTGGAGAGTTACGTTCCTCAACGTTGTCAGGTACAGCTGGCCAAGCGGACTCACTACGCTGTCTGTGGAGAGTTACGTTCCTCAACCTTGTCAGGTTCAGCTGTCTGTGGAGAGTTACGCTCCTCAACGTTGTCAGGTTCAGCTAGCCAAGTTGACTCACTACGCTGTCTGAGGAGAGTTACGTTCCTCAACGTTGTCAGGTTCAGCTGGCCAAGTTGACTCACTATGCTGTCTGTGGAGAGTTACGTTCCTCAACCTTGTCAGGTTCAGCTGGCCAAGTGGATCCACTACGCTGTCTGTGGAGAGTTACGTTTCTCAACCTTGTCAGGTACAGCTGGCCAAGTGGACTCACTACGCTGTCTGAGGAATCAAGAATCAAGAAGAATCAAGAATTTTTATTGTACGGAACACCCTCGTAGGGCAGGGTACAAACTAACTACATATGGAATAAATATAACTATCAACATGAGAGGTATATATACATAATGTACATTATATATATAAATATTACATATTATTTCATTCATAGTGTATAAACATTTATATATATATATATCATGAGGTGGCTGGTAGCGTGTACTTTAATGATGCTGATACTGTACAGATAAGACATAATAATAGTCATAAGGTCATATCTTGATGTTGTCTATAAGAGAGGTTCTTTTAATAAACATGTCGGAGATAGTTTGTGAAACATATTTTGCACTTTCAGGACAGGGGTTCAGGATATTTGCTAGGATATTATTATCATTTTTGCAGGTTTGGAGGTCTAGTGTTCGAAGAAGTATCTGCCTTTCGTTCTGATAATTTGGACAGTACAAAAGGAAGTGTTTCTCATCTTCTATCTTATTTAGGTTACATAATTTACATATTCTCTGGTCGACAGGCGTGTTAGTGTATCGGCCTCTTTCAATCTCCAGATTATGGCAACTGAGTCTTAATTTGGTTAAAGCTAATCTATGATCTTTACATTTTACAGCTGAAACATACTTCTTAAGTTCAAATTTATCTTTAATAAGTCCTAGATGCCTAAGTTTGTGGGAGTTATCAGTGTTTACTTGGTCACTTTCAATGAGAAATATATTTCTAAATTTTGTTTGAAGAGCTTCATAGAATTTTGAGCAAGGGGCATTTTCACTGTTGGATTTGGGAAGTAGGTGTGCCATCATATATTTGATCGAGGATGTCCAGGATATTTTTTGTGAGGCCAAGAGAATATCCTCCTGGTATGCATCGAATAAGAGCCTGTCACCTTCCAAGCCTCTCAGGCGCTGGTAATATCTAAACATGGACATATATATTTGTAAAGTAAGAGGGTACATTCCTAATTCACTGAGGCATCCAATATTACTCGACTTTTTTGGTACTCCTAGAATCTGTTTTGCTATTTTGATAGTGATCTCATTACATAGTTGTTTTGACCAGGAGAGTTACGTTTCTCAACCTTGTCAGGTACAGCTGGCCAAGTGGACTCACTACGCTGTCTGCGAAGAGTTACGTTCCTCAGCCTTGTCAGGTTAAGCTGGCCAAGTGGACTCACTACGCTGTCTGTGGAGAGTTACGTTCCTCAGCCTTGTCAGGTTCAGCTGGCCAAGTTGACTCACTACGCTGTCTGTGGAGAGTTACGTTTCTCAACCTTGTCAGGTTCAGCTGGCCAAATTGACTCACTACGCTGTCTGTGGAGAGTTACGTTCCTCAACCTTGTCAGGTACAGCTGGCAAAGTGGACTCACTATGCTGTCTGTGGAGAGTTACGTTCCTCAGCCTTGTCAGGTTCAGCTGGCCAAGTGAACTCACTACGCTGTCTGAGGAGAGTTACGTTCCTCAGCCTTGTCAGGTACAGCTGGCCAAGTGGACTCACTACGCTGTCTGTGGAGAGTTACGTTCCTCAACCTTGTCAGGTACAGCTGGCCAAGTGGACTCACTACGCTGTCTGTGGAGAGTTACGTTCCTCAACCTTGTCAGGTTCAGCTGTCTGTGGAGAGTTACGCTCCTCAACGTTGTCAGGTTCAGCTGTCTGTGGAGAGTTACGTTCCTCAACCTTGTCAGGTACAGCTGGCCAAGTGGACTCACTACGCTGTCTGTGGAGAGTTACGTTCCTCAACCTTGTCAGGTACAGCTGGCCAAGTGGACTCACTACGCTGTCTGAGGAGAGTTACGTTCCTCAACCTTGTCAGGTACAGCTGGCCAAGTGGACTCACTACGCTGTCTGCGGAGAGTTACGTTCCTCAGTCTTGTCAGGTTCAGCTGGCCAAGTGGACTCACTACGCTGTCTGTGGAGAGTTACGTTCCTCAACCTTGTCAGGTTCAGCTGTCTGTGGAGAGTTACGTTTCTCAACCTTGTCAGGTTAAGCTGGCCAAGTGGACTTACTACGCTGTCTGTGGAGAGTTAGGTTCCTCAGCCTTGTCAGGTTCAGCTGGCCAAGTTGACTCACTACGCTGTCTGTGGAGAGTTACGTTTCTCAACCTTGTCAGGTTCAGCTGGCCAAATTGACTCACTACACTGTCTGTGGAGAGTTACGTTCCTCAACCTTGTCAGGTACAGCTGGCAAAGTGGACTCACTACGCTGTCTTTGGAGAGTTACGTTCCTCAACCTTGTCAGGTTCAGCTGTCTGTGGAGAGTTACGTTACTCAACCTTGTCAGGTTAAGCTGGCCATGTTGACTCACTACGCTGTCTGTGGAGAGTTATGTTCCTCAACCTTGTCAGGTACAGCTGGCAAAGTGGACTCACTACGCTGTCTGAGGAGAGTTACGTTCCTCAGCCATGTCAGGTTCAGCTGGCCAAGTGAACTCACTACGCTGTCTGTGGAGAGTTAAGTTCCTCAGCCTTCTCAGGTACAGCTGGCCAAGTGGACTCACTACGCTGTCTGTGGAGAGTTACGTTCCTCAACCTTGTCAGGTACAGCTTGCCAAGTGGACTCACTACGCTGTCTGTGGAGAGTTAAGTTCCTCAGCCTTGTCAGGTACAGCTGGCAAAGTGGAC